TATAGACCAGGACAGCTGAGAGCTCTAATAGCTGCTTGATAGGATTTCATAGGATTTCCTTCAGTTTTAGTAGATTAGTTTGATTTTTTCCACCCAGTCTGTCACACCTGCGTTTTAATCAGTTCGTCATCCCAGCTTCTCCTCATTTTTCCACCACTTAAGGACTCTTTCTTCCTGTTTTATTTAGAAATTCTTGGGTTGATTTGACTGTTTTATAATATAACACTTATATTCCAGCTGCACTCAACAAGGCAAGCCCACGGCATTGTGTCCTGGTTGGTGAGAGAGAAAACACAACAATCCTGACTCAGGATTGTGGCAAAAAAAAGAACAGTAAACTCGATTTATCTTATATCACACCCATCGAGTGTGTATTTTTTGTCAAAATCATCCTTGGTTGCTGTGGCGATCAAAACTACAAAGGTTCTGACCAATAAATGAGAAGCTGAGCTTTGAGTCATGTCTGACTATATTTAGATATTCCACTACAGCTTTATAAAGCCTGAAGGTCCCAGCTTGTCTTCACATTGTGTTTTTTTCTGTCTCTGAAACACCGAGGCACGTCTAGGAGAAGACAAACGTTTTTATATAACTTTTCATGATAAAAACCACAAGGAACTTCACAGGTACAATACAAATATTAAGAAAGACAGAAGTTAAAATACAAATTAACATTTGAAAAAAAAAACAACTAAGAGAGCTAAAATGTACAGAAATGACAGAAACACAGCAGTAAAAGAAGCTAGTGAGCACACAGCCTGGACACACACACACACACACACACACACACACACACACACACTGAAAATATTAAAACAACGGTAGCATAAATACACGTAAAGATATGTTTGGTTTATTTGGGTCATTTGTTTCTGACACTGATGGCTGTGATGAGTCTCATGTGGGTTGATGCAGAGCCAAGAGGACGGACTGAACTCTCCTTCCTTTTTCCTGAGAGCTCCCCTCTGCTGCAGCATCCTTGTCAATAACTAAAATGTGCTGACCTAAGCGGTAGTGGAACCTTTAAACATGGTGTTCTGTTTCTGAAGACTCCCAGACAGCTGATCACTGGATCTCGCTCTTCAGGACGCGTGGGACTAAATGTTCCTGTACAGATGACAACTTCATACACACTTATGGGTTTGGTGAAGCACAACCTTAACAATCCTCGCCAAGATTTATGTCAATTTTTAATTTGGCATGTTTCTGACACTTGTGGGATTTATAGACAACAAAAGAAAACACACAGGTTCAGAAAGAACTGGTTTGGCCTCGTGACACTTCTGAACCCTTTCATCACACTACTGCTAGCTTATTTTAATCAACTTCCTTGTGGTCTATTTATCTATAGGTCATTTATAATTATCATGACATTATTGTCTTTTATTTTTACTGTGATGGCCCTGTGTTTTGTTGAATTAATTTGTCATGTAGTGTCCTTTATTTAGCCACAATGAAATGTTTGGATTTGTAATTTTCACTTTTTTCACTTTTGAATGAGGCTCTTAAATATGTTAAAGGCTGACGGATCTACGTCAAACTGTCTTCCATCTTAAAGTCTCTTCCCAGAGTATTTCTCTTATCCGCTGGCGCCATCTAGTAGCTGACAAGCAAATCACACAAATAATTTCTCCTTCCATTTTTTTAAGATGGCGACTTCATATTTCTTGTTTATTTATGTCATTTTGTAGCGACAAACAGCTAAAACATGTTTTTTTTACAAGGATTATTCTCATGTCATGTTGTGTTCTCATATATTTATATTTTAAAGACTTACCTGTCTTTTAAAAGTTCATCAACTCTGCATCAGCCATGGTATTCCTTAAATTTAAAGTATGTAAGTGGTAGTCTAACGCTATTGGTTAGTTCTGGTTGGCGCTCAGTTTCTTATTGCACAGAGCTCTGCGGGGCAGGGAGCGTGATTAGCAAAAAACAAAAAAAAAAAAAAAATACATATTACTTACATCATATCATAGTACATGATAAAATAATCACTTTTATTGATTTCTGAAAAATCTTACATAATTTCTGAAAGGGGAAAACTCCGAAGAGCTACTTTAGCCTATGCCAGAAAAGGCTGTTGTTGGTTTAGCGGACAGGAAACATAAGGGAAAGTCTCCACTAGAAGCTGACCATTAAATGGGTCTGTATTTGCATAGCGTCTTCTAGGGTTCTACAACCCCCCAAGGCGCTTCACCACACAATCATTCATTCACCCATGCTCACACACACATTTACATGCTGGTGGCAGTGAGCTACAACATAGCCACAGTTGACCTGGAGCTAACTGATGGAAGCAAGGTTGCTGAACACATGTGTCACTGGTCCCTCTGACCACCACCAGCTGGCAGGGTGGGTTAAGTGTCTTGCCCAAGGACACAACCAGGGGCGTTGTACTGGGGGGGGGGGGGGGAGGGGGGGGGGGGGACCTGACTACCCAGGGCCCAAGAGGGGAGAGGGGCCCATGATTCCCTCCCCCGTTTTAATTTAGAAAACATTGGGCCCCCTTTGTGTCAATTTATTTCATAATATTGTTGTTGCCAACTAAAGATGGGAAAATAAAACCAGACTTTATGTCAGTGTTTGTTTAACCCTAACCCCAAAGGAGGAACTTCTAAACAGTTTCAGGAACACAATGCAATGTTGGGGAATCTAGTGCAAGGCAAGAGAGCCGGTGTTCTGAGAAAACGTCCTAATTTGGCAAAACGTCCTACCCGTAGGATAATTTTACGGTGTTTTACATGACACAAACCCTAACCATAACTCTAACCCTAACCAAAAAAAAAAATCAAGTATCAACGTCATTAAATGTACTAATACTTACTACTTATCTATTTTCCTGCAAATATGACAGCGGAGTAGCATTCCCCTTTTGTGTTGTGCGCATGCGCGCACATGCTCAGGAACAACGGGTAGGACGGTTTATCGGGTAGGAGAAATTCCCAGAACACCAGCGCTGCAGCAGCAGAGGAAGCGGCCAGTCCTGCTGGTTCATCTCCTGGCAGTCAGTTGGCTTTAGTTTAGCTTAAAAAATGTAAGTGAATGGGAACAAAATGCTTTTTATCACTTATCTAACTCTGGGTAATATGACAACAGACACAATTGTACTTATGGGTGGAATATCCATTTAAGTATGAGAAATAGCTGGCAAAAATCCATATATAACTGATTGTTGTATAAAACCTTACACATGCCTTGTTTATTTATTTTTGCAAATAAAACCACTTTTATGTTCATGTGCCGAATGGGGCCCAATGACATTGAGAGTGTACAGTGCCCAGAATTTGGTGCTACGCCCCTGGACACAACAACTGCGTCGGACTGAGCGGGACATGGCTGAACCATCAAACTCCTTCAGGCTTGTGTTATTTGTGGAGATTAAACACCAATGGGCCGTGCTGCTGTTGGCCAGTTCAAGGTGAGATGTCCAAACATCAGAAGATAAGAAATCCTCCCGTCTGAAGCTACTCTCTCCTCTGGCTGATTTCTCCGAGCTGAAACAGGTGCACCGAAGCTTTTTGTCCCTAGAGTATGACTTACAAGGCATTCGTTCCTACTAGAGATCACTTCAAATGTATTAAATATGAGTGAAGGACCTCTTTAATTGTTTAAATTGGAGGACCTGGTTTCATCTTCATGTTTTAGTGAGATGGATCCACGGTCATCAGATTAGAGTCAGAGTGAGGAGGCAATCAATTTTCACACAAATACAGGAAGAAAACAACAGAGTGTGTTTTCGATGTTTAAAGAGTGTACCATGAAAAATCATTACAACATTAACATGTAAAGATCACAGGCTGTAACACAATTTGAGCAGACTCCAATTCTTGAGATTTCATTTTGTTCAGAATCATCTGAAAACCAGAATCTGCAGCTTTTAATCCATTGGCCTCTACACTGACGCATTTGAGGATTTTGCACAACCCTGCAACTTTGGGTGATTATTTCCCACATGAAATATTGAGTACAGTGTCACATTAATTTTACCATTTCTTCAGCAATTAAACTATTTCCCCTTCCTGACAGTTTTTAAGGATGTTGTCCTTAGTGATGAACTTTTCCCTCTGGGTCATAATCTTAATGTGACACAGAACTCATTTCATGACAAATTCCAAACTAAAACTGGTCCTGAAACGATTTCCTGTTGAGAAACAAGCGGTTGTGGTGGTGCTGCTCCCTCCTAGTGGTCACTTGGAGGCTCGACAGGTTAAACGACCTGCATTTTCATAACTCAGATTAAAACTAGATCCATTTTCATTTTATTGTGATTCAGTCTTGGGTTAATTGTTGTTTTGTTGTAAAATAAGTTACTGTTCAGCACAAGATATAACTGAGTGCATCCTGCAGGAGTCCTGTTGTGAATTAGATCACAGAGTACAGACGAAACAGAACGCTTCACCAAGTCCATTTCAGTGAAGCTCTAATTCCTGTCCTGTCTGATCCAGGTTATCAAGTCGTTCCATGACGACGACTTCAGACTCCCTCCTGCCAAAATGTTCTTTAACTTCCAGCTCGATAGAGTATAAAGATAATGGTTTTCTGCTTTATCTCAATCTGATAAAACCTTGTCGTATCAGCTGAGTCTCACAGATCTTATCGTGTCACCTGTAATCTTTAGAATCGGTTCACCTGCACCTCACACTTGTGCAACAACACGATTTTCACAGTTTAATAGTTTGTGCTCATTTCAATATTTATATGATTGTGTTTTTGTCATTTATTCGGGTAACTTGGCAAAAGCAAACAAATGTTGTGCTAAGTTCAGATCATAGTCCTCTCAGTTTACTGCCCTGAGCTCGCGACTGGTGTCCTGCCCCCGTTGGTTTAATTCTTGGCTCCTTCCAGATGAAAATGTTGTGGTATTGAACACTGAAATTCAATCTTTTATTGAGATCAACCAAACCCGCAGAATGCCGTTTTCCACTATCTGGGAGTCCTTGAAGGCTTATCTGAGGGGTCCAATAATTTCTTAGTGTGCATAAAGAAACAGTAAAGAGATGAGCGGTTGAAATCATTTATACTAACAAACCATCATTATAAAATGCAGTCGTACACGTGTTCAAAATACCATCAGTAAGAAAGTCAAACAGCTGATAACTGTAGAATTGTGATAGACGTGGAACATTTAGAAATAATCTTTATTAAGTTATCAGGAAAAAGGTTTAATTTTGTATAAAATAAATTTTGTACTAAAGAATTGAGCTTCATGTCAGGATAAAGTGGAGTTTTACACACACTGGGTCGATCCTGTCCTCTAGTGGTGAAATCTTTAAACACAGATTTTTTTTCTAAACTATGACGTCATTCTCCACAGAAAAGACTCGGAGTCTGATGGGATGTTTTCAGGTGGATTTCTGCTTTTATCATGAAATCTCTCAAACATCTAAATCTTCTTCTTCATCTGAGTCTTCAGCAGGATGATTGTGTTCTGACTTTAACATCCAAATCAGAACCCTGAAACAACAGACAGGTGAACTCTACATCATCTCCTGACCACATGGTTTTCACAGGACGTGTGTCTATAACGATGCTAGTCTTTTATTGTGCAAATAGCTAAGTTTTACCACAGGGACAGGAAGAGCAGCAGCAGTGAAAAGGTCAAACAGGTGGTGAGAAGAGATGGGAGGAGGAGGAGGAAGGAGCGAGGAGAAGCACCAGGCGCGGGGAGTAACTGGCCTCCTGGGAGCAGAGACAGGTCAAATATCTCCTGCAGCTCTGTGTGACCTGCAACAAGCTGGGGGGTCACTGAGAGACATGAGACAGGGAGGGAGGAAGAACCAGTCAGTCAGTTATGAAAACAGGCTTGAAACAATGACTTATGATTGTTTACCTTAAATGTGTTTACACAATAAATAAATAAATAAACAAACCACATTATCTATCTATCTATCTATCTATCTATCTATCTATCTATCTATCTATCTATCTATCTATCTATCTATCTATCTATCTATCTATCTATCTGTCTGTCTGTCTGTCTGTCTGTCTGTCTGTCTGTCTGTCTGTCTGTCTGTCTGTCTGTCTGTCTCTCTCTCTCTCTCTCTCTCTCTCTCTCTCTCTCTCTACACACATATATATATGTAGTTAAATTTTTAGAATATATAGATATATATATATATATTTTATCCATGATGTTATTGAATCATATATATATATATATATATGTATATATATATATATATCCATCCATCCATTTTCACCCACTTATCCAGAGTCGGGTCGTGGGGGCAGTAGCCTAAGTCGAGAGGCCCAGACTTCCCACTCCCCAGCCACTTGGGCCAGGTCCTCCGGGAGAATCCCAAGGTGTTCCCTGGCCAGGTGAGAGACATAGTCCCTCCACCGTGTCCTGGGTCTACCTTTAGGTCTCCTCCCGGTTGGACGTGCCCGAAAAACCTCACCAGGGAGGCGTCCAGGAGGCATCCTGACCAATACATACACACACACATATATATATATATATATATATATATATATATATATATATATATATATATATATATATATATATATACATATATATATATATGTATATATAGCATCTTTTATTGCTTTTTACGCTTCTAATTCCAAATTTGGTAAAATAATTTGATTTAAAATGTCAAAGGAAAAGTAAAACACACCCAGTTTTATCTTCAGTCTCCCTTTTTTTTTTATCTCAAGTCAACAAAAATGTTCAATATCATAGTTTTTTTCATAGGCTCAAAATAATTTAAACATCGTAAATGATAAATCTATTTTATTTGAGCTATATTGAATGGTTTGATCAGATCCATATGCAGGAGTGATGAGGCAAATGTCTGAAAAAATAACATAAATTCATTTCATGTCATAAAAGATAAACAAAACAAACAAAAAATTACGCTGTTAAAAAGTAATTTAATCTGTTTTTGTCTATTTTATCCTTTTTGTTAAAATTTTAGAATCAAATTTCAATATAAAAGACATTTTAAAATGTTGTACATACAATTTCATTTCAATCAGATTATTGTGATTAATCTGTATTTAATTAAAATAATGTGATTATTCAGAGTTCATTCACGATGAACCAATGAGGGGGATTACTTCCAGGTTAGTCTGATCAGACGTTTTACCCAAGCGGGAACCAAGGACACCTTGAACTGTGCCAAAAATTGCAGTTCCATCCTCGTCCGCTAGGGGCTGACACCAGAGGTGAGCAAATCCTCATTGACTCCCATGTTGTAAATGCCAATTTCACAGCAGAAAAAAAAACATGTTTACAGCCTGTTCAAAAAATTTGTTTAGGTTTAATATATCTAGTTTAAAGTCATGACAACTCTGAGGGGGTGTCTTTTTTGGTAACTCTTCTGTTTTGTTGTAATTAAATGCTTGAAATTATGAATAATTAGATATGATTGACAGGTAGCATGAGTGCCAGAGCTAGTGCTAGCAACTAGCTCCAGGGAAGACCTCAGCCTGGGACTCACGTTAATAGATGTTCAGCCACTTCCACTTTAGTTGTGTCCTCTGAGTGTTCGTGTTTGGATGTTATTGAATCATTTGGACAAAGAGAAAAAGCTGTGGTGTTGATTTCATAAGATATTATCCAAGAAGTCTCTGCATCCTTTTTATCAGTAAGTAAAGTTCTATTTCTGTACTTTATTTCGCTGGTTGAATGGGGGAAATGCTGTACATTTAACATAACACTTGATGGTTAAAGATGGGTTGAAATATACCATGTTCACTGGTTGACTGGGTATCAAAACTCAAGCTAGGTAAGCTGACTGAGGCAAGCAAGCAGAGGCTTTGGGGCTTCGCTGGTCCCTTCCCAACCCTAACCCACGGTCACCGCTGCAAAGAGTTGTGCCGAGTTTCGGTAATTTGCCTCCCCCTTTCACAGCGGTGAACCTGCGATCAGAGATCCATGAATCTGCCAGTTCATCCTTGTGGAGGCAGCCCAGAGAGGTGGGCGCCCAGACAGCTGCTACACGCAGACAGCTGTATGCTCCCATCTCCAGAGGGGGCTGAGACGTGCGGCCGCCTGGTTTCATGCTAGCCTGTGGATGTGCTGGTTGCTTGTGGAGCTCTCTTAAGCCATTTTTACAAAACAATGCCGTCAATTTGCCACAACGCTGAAGCAGCACCAGAGAGCCTTAGGTCGTTTATCAGTGGTCAGACAGACAATTATCACAGTATTACTACCAAGTAATTACTGCCGCAGCATTTGGTCATCGCCATGCCGGCATAGCGCGTTTACAAGACACACCATTGAGGTAATATTATACTGATTTGCCAGCTAGGTGTTTCTTGTAAAATAGGCTTTAGGGAGACTACTGAAACACAGTTGATGTTGCTTTACTTTGGAGTCGCTTAACTGTATTTCTCTCGCTAAAAGGCTAGGTTATCCAGAGTTATCTCTGTAGTTATGCTGCTATAGGGTTAGCCTGCCGGAGAACATACTGACCATTTTCCACACTCTACTACTTTCTTTTACCACTGTGCATTATTTCCTGCTAGTGTTTTCCTCCTCAGAAGAAGCTACAGTGGTGTTCTGCTGAGCTGTGGGAGCCTCATGGAGGGGCCATCGGCTGGCACACTGCTGCTAACCTCTTAACATTCTTCCTCTTCCGATAATAACATTTTACTTTCTCTGACATGGAATGTGCTACTACTAGTTCACCTGTTTGCTGGTGAAGGTTCTCAGTCATCCAGGTCATGGTAATCCAAAAGAGTTCCAATGAAGGAAACGAACAACCAAAGAAGTCCAGTTGCCTTCATTTGAGCCCTTTTGGATTAGTTCACCTGTTGAATTAATTATGGATTCACTAAGATAAAGACAATAAAGTCGATCTCTTACTAAACAGAATATTTACTAAGAAATCACAATGTAACCACAGAAGTTGATTGAAAAGCGCCAGAAAAATCTTGGTTAGCTTGGGTTAGCATATAGCTAATTTCCCGCTGATCTCCGACTGTGGGTTATCAAGACCTCTCCTAAGCTGTCAGGGCGTTCGGCTCTAATTGCAGTGGTTTGAGGTTCTGCTTGCATTTAAACTGTCCATATTAGAGCTTCACTGGTAACCAGCAAAATTACAGCCTCGCACGGAAGCCAGGCAGCTGTGCCGGTCGTCTGTCCTGGAGCTTTGCTAGAACTTCCTCTGTCTTAGCTTCAAGGGTTAGTTCAATTAGCTAGTAGCAACTTTGTTCCCACCCTCAAAGCCCCACCCTCAGCTCCACCTTCTTTTCCATTTTTGGATTGTCTCATTGAGACATGTGACATGACCAAAATGGCGGTAGTGGGAACTGCCTTTTTTGACTCAAAAAAAAAAAAAAAAACCAGACAGAAATGGGCGGGCTTTGTTCACGCATATATGCAAAATGTTTTACCCCAATAACTGAAATCCTCATTTGAAAACTACATTTCGTGTTTACTCAGATTATTTTTGTCTGATTTTGAAATGTAAGTGCGACAGTAAAAGAAGCAAAAACAGAAATAATCTATGTGTTCTGTTTTTGTGTCGATGGTTTTTACACAACTTAGAAAAAAAATTGAGTTTTACCGTACACGTCTCCGCTAATGACTCTAGCTATCATCAGTTTGCCAGTGATGGTGGCGTCACTTCCGTTTATCCGCGGGCAGCAGAGGACAGTGTCGCCCTCTGCTGCCCGCGTCCTCCTTGCTGATGACACAGTCCCATGTGTGATCCAATGTGAATACTCCACCGTCTCTGTTCAAGGTTTGTGTCTATGTCTCCTTATTTCTATCGCTTCTTTGATCCATCTTTTGATTTTTGTTGTTCTGTGTTTATGATCCGTGTTCTGTCCCAGTCCATGATTCTCTCTTGTGAAGTGGTCCGTTACGGCTGATTTCTTTATTGTACTTTCTGCTTCTTGTTTTGCTGCTCTTGTGTGTCTTTCACTATTTTCTTTCTCACACTCACATTGATGCTCTCTTTTTCATGTGTTGACTTGTGTTCCGGTTTTTCCTGTGTATGTTTTACTGCAGAGTTAGCACGGGAATTCATACATGACGTTTTTAGCTGCTGTCTAGTGGGTGTGCTAATCTTTTTCTGAATGTGCATGATTTTGGTGGTGTGTTTATAAAATGTGTTTTCAGTGTTGTTATTTATTTTTCCGTGGTGCCTTTGATATATGGAAGGGTGACAGTGTCATCAGCAAAGAGGACACGGGCAGTAGAGGGCGACATCGTCCTCTGCTGCCGGCGAATAAACGGAAGTGACGCCACCAACACCGGCGATCTCTGATGACGGCTAGAGTCATTAGCTGAAACACGTAAGGTAAAAAACTTTTTTTTTTACTATGCTGTGTAAAAAAAAAGAACAAAGTAATGGATTATGAAGTTACACACAGAACAAATGTACGAAAGAGTACAGAAGGAATCTGTTCAGGACGAAAACCCTGTTCTGGTAAAAGGAAAGGGGAGCAAAACCAACAAGTTTACATTATTTTCTAACAGTTTGTCCAAAGCACCAAAATAAAGTTCCGTACTTGTTTTTACCATTTGACTCCAAAGGTGTTGTGTCTGCTTACCTGAGATGTAGTAGTAGAGTCTGACAATGGAGCGAGAGCCGGAGAAGATCTCACACTGGTAGGTCCCCTGATGGTGGAGGCTGGTTGAAGGGATGGAGTAGAGCGTGTCCACTCCTGCAGTCACCTCCTTAAACTGATCCATCTCCTGAGTTTTGACCTGCAGGAGAGCAGAGCTGCTATTTATAGAAAGGGAACTTTTCTACTAATCAGCACAAATTAAAAGATGAATTTGGCTCCAAGCCCCGTGTAAACTTCAGTTCTGCAGAGTTCTTTCAAGGACGTTCACTTGGCTGCTGCACCTCACTTATCATACCCTGATTTGGATCTTTGTCCCTTTATGAGTCTGTTTTTTAACAAATCATTTTGCAGCGATTAATGACTTGGTTATGCATTTATGCCAACATTGCCAGTTTTCTTGGTGTTATATTAAGTTTCATCTGAATGATAATCTTTAAAATGTTACACTTTTGGTCTCTCATCTCTTTTCATTACGTCCCCTCATTTCTGCCTTTTTTGTGTTATTTTTGGTTGTTTTGTGTCTCTTTCTGAGAAACAGTGCACATCCAGACCTTAACTGATACTTTTCTAAAGAATATTGAGGCTTAATTCTGATGATTACATGCTGATGCTGCATGATTCATCGTATGCTGAACTCACCTCTTCTGCAAACCTCCAGATCACCTCTACATCATTTGGGAGGTCAAAAGGTACCTTGCACCACATTCGGCTCCTGCTGTTCTCCGTAATGTCAATTTCTTCAACTGAAATGTACACACAGCCGCCCGCACACACACACAGATAACATTCACAGGGGGCAGTGCTTGCAGTCTGAGCCTTTCTTAATGATAATACTTAAACCCAGTCTCCGAGGAGCCAAGTAAAAGTGATGATATGCAAAACATCGGCTGAGCTGTACAGGGGGTGATACAGATCCCACCGTGTGTGTGGGAGTCAGCCGTCACCTTACATAAAGAAGCCGACGACTTAAAGAATACCTCCAGGGCTCCGTGCAAAAGCTATGATGTGTGGAAATGAAACCTTCCCACTGTCTCTGTTTCAAATCCTGACTTTTTGCAGAGAGCGTTTGAAGGATCAAGGAAGGAGCGTTTCAGGGATCAGGACTCAGGCAGGGTGAAAATATAGATATCCAAGGATGTGTCAAGTGAGGATTAAGTTCATCTTCTCTATACGTGACAACACGGGCGGTGGGTTCTCACCTGGACAGTCGAGAGGGAATTCACACGAGTCATACAGGCAGGTGATGCAGTTGTACACAGCACCCAGGATCTGAAAACCTGACAGGGAGGTGTGGCTGAGACTGGAAAGCTGTTTTGCTTTTATTAAAACACACTGAGTAAAACAGAAAGGCACTAACCACATGGAGGGAAACACCCAGAGACTGTGGACAGAACAAAAACATTTTACTTCTCTTTGATTGCTAGATCTGCTGCAGCGTCTGTAAGTAAGAGTCGGTTCAGGCTGACTGCCTCCTTCGACAGGTTGTAATAAAGTAACTGGATCATTACAGAGACAGAATAAAGAGTTCAGAGGCAGCTGTAATGGCCCAGTGTGTGCCTCACTTTAGATGAGAAGATGAAGGAAGGAGTTAGAGACCGTGTCTCACCTCTAGGCAGTTTGGAGGCAGCTGCGATGAAATTGTCTGCTGCTGTCTGCAGCCTTGTCTCATACACCGTCTCTGATGGATGGAGAGGGAGCAGCAGGGAGGAGGGGGTCAGGAATATTTGGCTCTACACATCATTGCAAGCTTTAGGGCATCATTGTTGAAATCCCTCTTCTTTCTGGCCTCACTTTACATTTCAGACTCATTTACTGATGGAGAAAATGAGGTGAAGCAGCTGTTTAGTTACCGTCGTTCAGCTTCTGGTCAAACTCCTCAGCCAGGGGCAGAATCTCAGCGTCCAGGATCTGCTGGAGGTTTGTGTCGAAGCCTTTACCTGGAGACAGGATACACAAGTGTATCACAAGTCCAATCATCACCTTTTTGTTTTAGGTGTTCATACCAACTCTCCCAGCCTCGATCACGGTCTGGTTCAGGTTGAAAATGCGGTCCAGCAGCCTGAAGCACTCATCAACATTTCTCACATGGTACTGAGTCAGAACGTAGCCCCAGCACAGCCGGAGACTGTCCTCCACATCAACAAAGCACTGATAGCAGCTCAAAGAGGGATGCCACAGCAAACCCACAAACCACAAAAAAGTCCACAGCATGGTTCAGCAGGTGCTCTAAAGCTCAGGATGGTGTTTGTTTTTATTCAAATTCTGCTCTCATGGTGACCAGACAGGAGTTCTAGTGGCTCCAGCTGCAGACGATGCATGGGAATGTGGGGGCTGGATTGAATGAGCTCATTAGAAAACGTGATTTATCAGCGTGCTCGGGTTTGAGGAGATGGGAGAACACCTTCTGTACTTCTTTCCTCCGTTCTATTGTCTCTATTCCCCATTTCCTGCTGCCTCGATGCACCAGTTTTACTGCAGAGCTCAGAGATGGCGTGAGCCAAGGAGGGGAGGTGGTGGCGGCGGCAAGGGGTGGGAGAGAGAGGGGCAGGAGGAAAGCGAGTTAAACGTCTGTGTGTGTAAGGAGACAGGGCGTTTTCACACAAAACCCCAGCGAAATTTACTGTAGTAAATAAACGCCGGAGCTGGGAGGAAATAACAACAAAGAAGAAACAAAGAGGAGACTAAATTAGAGGCAGACAGGTGAAGGAAGAGAGATGTTCCTCATGGAGGAGTTCAGACAAATCTAAACATGAAGAAAAGAGGAGAAAAAGCAAAAGGAGAGGAGGTATGAGGACACACAAGTGACAGACGGAGAGAGAGCAGGACCACAAATCAAGTCAACTCCCTCATCACATCCTGTATCCCCCCCATCCTCCCCATCCATTCATCCCCTCCCGCCTGCCTCCATCTCCTCGGTCCCTTGCTCCTGGTGCATTGCCATGGTAACCAGACAGGGTGCCTAATACACGAACTTAATATATTTCCAGTGGCAGGGTGAGCTGGGTACTAATGCATTCATCTGTCTCCACACAGACAGGACAATCAATATCAGGCAGAAGTGTTCTCCGGGACCGCCAAAGTCCGGGAGCTAGTCGGAAGGCTGGACACGGAAAATCCCAAATTCAAGTGTGTGTGTGTGCATGTGTGTGTGTGTGTGTGTGTGTGTGTGTGTGTGTGTGTGTGTGTGTGAGTGAGTGTACAAAATCTGCTTGTTACTGGGACATTCCGATGATCCCCCCCCCCCCCCCCGCACTCACTCACACACACACACACACACACACACACACACACACACACACACACACGCACACACACACACACACGCACGCACGCACGCACACACACACACACACACACACACACACACACACACACACACACTATGACAGTTTGATATACAAATTGGTCAACAGAAGTATTTTTATTCAGTGACAAACTTTCATAATCGTGAACAAAACTTGAGGAAATCTAAAGATTCAACTTTAGGTTAAAAACTCTTATTTTAGGGAAGTTAAAGAAAATAAGAATATAACACATTTTTAAGGACAGAGTGTTTAAGCATTTGAAAATGTGAGCTTGATCTCTGAAGGTGAAAGATCTGACGGGGTCACGACCCCCGGCTGTCTTCCTATTGGCCCCACAGGAGGCTCTAACACAAAGACAGCCAATAGGGACGGCTCCCTGATAGCGTTGGTGCTGCAGGACAGGAGTCGTGGTCGTTTCCTTCATGTGAAATGGGACGAGGACACGCTGGGGTCCTTCTGAATAAAACAGTATGTCACAAAGTGAATTTCCGAAAGGAAAAATGAATTATTATTATTATTATTGTAACTGCAGAATGTTTGTCTCTAATAAAAAATGAGTGAAAACGTAGAAACTGAATGCAGCCCTGTTCCCGAGGACCTCACCTGTGACCTGCTTTGACCTCACAGGTTAAGGGTCTCAGGGACAGAGGGGCATACTGCAAAATGAAAACATTCAGCAGCCGTGAGATTAAAAAGGAAAAAGTACTAAAAGAAAAAGGACTGCAAAGCAGCAGCACCCAGACAAAGACATGACCTCATCTGACATTTGGATTCTGCAGCACCAGCCGGTCTCCTGGTTTGCTGCAGATCAGGAAGGAGCGCGTCGCTTTAATTAAAGCAATAAACACAACATTATTTATTTTTATTTATTCATTGCTGCAGTCAGACCCGTTTTTCACAGAGGGCACAAAGAATCGCAGCGATGCAGCAGAATTCATTAAAGAGAAACAATTAACTTTGACCTGTTGGTAACTATCACAGGCGTCTTCAGCATGACTGATTATGTTTGCATCAAACTCAACTGTTTAGTGTATGTTTAGAGCTCATTAGGCTTTTATAAGAAATCCACTTTACACACCCATCATGAGTGAGAATGGCAGACTAGAACAAAAATCACCTGCTAAGGAGGAATTACTGGTAATGATTTTTTATGATTTATAACACAATGCATAAATAGCTGGATAACTCAAGGGGAACCAAATATTGATGTGAAAGGCATGTTTCTGTAGTTCTCACTGTCTGCACAGACATCCGCGCCTTTTTGCAAAGAGCATTTTAAAGATTTACGGCAAAGATGAATTTTTAACACGCTTTAAGTTGAAGGAGTCTAACATCTTTGACAGTTTTCCTGCTGCTCAGTTTTGTTCAGATCAACAGGAGACGGGAACCCTCGTCTGAGTTACCAGCCAAAACCTAACAACACAAAAACAAAGGATGCAGAAAAATGTAATACAACCACATTTTACTCCATGTCAGAATGACGGAGTGTGTTTTCATTGATAAAAAAATAAATTCATCATTTCCAAACCTTTGATGGCTCTGCAGCCCTCTGGCAGACACACATGGACTGACTGTGGAAAACCCAGTCGGTACTTTCCATCGTTCTTCATGCAGACGTCTACTTTGTGACACATGAAGTGTAAATGAAGGCACAATTACCCACGGCCTTAAAATCAACAGCAGCTTGCGATGTATATTTGTTCTCTCCAGCTTTATTTTGCAAAACGTACAGGCCTATAGGGAACCGGAGATTTGATTGTTCCTGTTCTGCTTGTAATTTTTGGATGTGGCAGACAGCCGGAGGATTGCGCCAGTGCAGCTTTTAGGCTAATGTCCTCGTTATGTCATTATTTAATACACAGAATGCATTCAGCTCGGCATCTAGCTCATAGAAGTCGATTACGTACACATTACCATCGTCATTAATCAAATTGTTTAAATCATGTGATAGCTGTCAATTTTACAACAATTATAGAAAACCAAAAATGAACTACAGTCAGGTGAAGCGTTTTTTATCAAACAATTCAAAGCTGTAAAAGTTTCAGATAAAATGTCATTTAGCAGCAGCAGCAGAACAAAAAAATGTAAGAAATCTGGATTATATTTGACGGCAGAAACATTCAAACTAACACAAAAGAGGCATTCACCTGACAGCCAGCCTCGTCTTTTCCCGCTTCTTCAGAGCCACGCGGATCCTCCGTCCCTCTCTGATGCTCTCTGCCGGTGCCAGACAGGGAGTCCAGCAGCAGGTAGGTTACAGACTAGTATTGATTCCATTATTCTGCTCTCTACCTACCTGACAACATCTACGCAGCGCTTCACCTTTTGTCTCTGCAGGGCTGCTGTCACCGAAACACGCCAAGCTGCAAAGGAGATGAAAAGAAGAAGAAATAATAGTAAAAGCAGTCAGCGTGCATGTGCACACACACGCCAACACCTCTCGTTTTCCATCGCACGTTTTTCCAAACCTCACATCTCAGTCAGACACCCCCACACACACACACACACTTACACATACACACACCCCAGTCTCTGAGCTACGTTTGTAAAAGTGTGAGAGACGACAGTGCAGTGAGTGCATGTGTGTGTGTGAAAGAGGGGGAACAGTGTGTGTGGGGGGGGAATGAGGGAGGGATGTGGGGATGAGCGGAGGCTACAGCAGAGAGTGAGGATGGAGGGGGAGGGTCAGAATCTCTAATAGGATGTGAATTGAGAGAAAATATGAAGCCCCCGAGTCTCATGAACCTGAGTCTGACATTACTGCCTCCTCCGATGTGTACAGCAATCATACCGTCATCAAATTGATTACAGGATTTATGGCGTGGCTCGAACACCACAGCAAATTGCAGCTGGAGTGACATCAAGCACATTAAATAAAACCATCATGGGAAGCTCTGCCAATAATAAAATGTGTCTTGATTACGCTGCTTGTCATCAGAGTTGTGCAATTAGCCATTCAGAATCCACGAGACTGAAAAAAATCCAATAAATTATGTCCAAAACGCCCGTGACATTTACCAACCTGTGCTGCCACACACGAGGAATTTGCATGGCTTCTTTGTATGTAATGTTCTCCAATCTTTCATCTGTTTGCATGTCTGAAGGCAGTCTGATTGTAATATTTGCACTCGTGTGCGCACGGACGGAGAGCTGCCGTCGTGTTTGTTGGGTAACAGAATCACGCAGCCCTGAGGGGAATTCAGAAATGAAAGAAAATCTCATTTGGAGCCACTGATTGGCCGTCTGCTCAGTGAGACGGAGCATAAACACTACAGTTGATGTGGAAGCATCATAAATGGCCCTAAAGTGTTCTGACCATGCTGGACAATAAAGCGTATTGCAAACGTCGTCTCACATTTAGACCCAATTAGGATAAAACAGGCAAAGTCTTTGTTTCTAAAAGAAGTGAGTCGGATCTAAATCTCAGATTTAAAGAGAAATAAAAAAAAAGAACAGATTAGGAGTAACCACACAGATCTGATTCCACATTGGGAAAGCAAACAAGAGAACAGCTCACAAAGGTGTGAGGAGAATACTTCTTGATGGACACAATCATGCAAGACAAGGTTTCAGAATCTAGGTTAGAATAAAAACACTCTTCACCTGCTGAATAAAAGAGACAAACCCACACAGACGTCACAACTTTATTAACCTTCTGAGGAAACGTATTCCCCGCTTTGAACGTCTGATTCAGAAGTCAGATGCCCTGCGGAGCCTCCAGCAGCTGCTCTGTACTGTAAAACCGCGAAGCTCAAATTTGCATATAAACAACATTCTGAATGTGTTTACAGCATCCGCTATGATCTGTGTGCTGAGCGTTCAGCACATTCCCACTGCTCCGTGTTCTTGTGCAGCATGAAACTCCGCCTGTTGTTCCAAGACAAACTCCCTTATATTTGCAGTGCCTACAGAGGATCTGGACTGGTGAGGGTTTACGCTGTGCAGGTGTTGCTGGAAGCCCGTGTGTCTTCTTCCCAGTTGGCTTTATTAGAGCATCCCTCTCCAAGATGCAGGCTAGCTGGGCGCCATTTTACCGCAAAGACCCCAGAAAAAAAAGCAGCTCTCTCTGGGACTTGAACGACGTCTGCACCTGAGTAACAAAAACTGAATGTCACAGGCAGGTGTGTGTGTGTGTGTGTGTGTGTGTGTGTGTGTGTGTGTGTGTGTGTGTGTGTGTGTGTGTGTGTGTGTGTGTGTGTGTGTGTGTGTGTGTGGGAATGACATCATCAGTCTGGGATGGTGTCTGCCTCGTCTGTCTCAGCATCCAGGATGCTCCGGTTTGCTGTCGTGTCCCGAGGGATTATTATAGCAGAGCTACTCATCGCACCTGTTTTGTGTTGAATTTAATTGTAGGAATTTATGTCTGAGACTTTTTCGTTGCTTCAAGGAGCACGATGCACAAAAACTCTTGTGGATTTTCGCTTCTCTTCTTTGAGGAAATGTTTGCACGACATCTGCTTGCACATTTGCAGCATCTGTCTGATTAGAAAACGAGCCAAGCAGAACCAGAACAGCGTATAAAATGATCTTTGCTCTATTAAAGTCTGTTGCACATAAAGATATTATGACATTAGGGCTTTTTCTTACATTAGTTCTCCCCAAACACCTTGCAGCCGCCTGATGCTCAGCTGTCTGTTCTGGCAGCACAGGGGCGTTGCTTGGTGGGTAATAAAGAACGCTGCGACCGACCGTGCTCACTCAGCACATTTCTGATATATGCCCTCTTTTTTCACCCTTCCAGGCGGGGAGGAGAGCTGGCTGTAACGCACTGCAGATGGCTGCTGTTTCCAACTAGTCTGACACGTCGAGGGGAGGCGAGGAGGGAGAGGCGCAGTGAGATGGGGGGGGGGGGGGGGGGGGGGGGGGGGGGGGGGTAATAAAACGGAGATATTGCAATGGGATGGTAGTGAT